TAAATTGGGATATACGGATTTCACCCATGACTCCAAAATCTAATAATTGAATTAAGACCTAGTTAATGAAGATAATACAAAAACTCAAGACAAATAATGGTACATACAAAACCTAGTCATGAATACTCTTTAGCTCAAAAAAAGGAAAAGAATGACCAATTCATAAAGTCAGTAAAATTATGATGAATATAAAATGAAACAAATAAAGTTCAATAAAAATTGACAAATCTCTAGGGGCCGACGGATTTCACCTTGGCCTCAATATGTCTTGTCATTGAAGTAATACCGAAATATTGCCGAACAATGGGGAAAAAAAAAGATGGATGAAAGGAAATCTTAAAACACTTAGCCACTAATAACCTAGTGCCAAACAATGTAAAGAGCCACAACAACTAAAAATGCACGTTAAAAATCTCGACCAAGAATATCTTTTTTATTTAAAAATTTAAAAAAGAATATTAACTAAAAGTTGGAACAAACAAAAAAATTCAATAGGAAAATTATCTAGTTAATAGAGATCTACAGATTTCACCACTGCCCTTAACATTTAATTGATAATTTGAGACACAAGTTATGCTAGAGGATGCATGTAACCATGTACAATGAAAGTATGTACTAAAACTCTAAATCATAAATATCATTAAGTTTAAAAATAAAATAAAATATCAAGTAAAAAGAACCAAGGAAAATGAAATGGAATATTAAAAGACTAAGCGATGAATATCTATTGACTTGCAATAATAAAAAGGAAATAATAACAAGTAATGTATAAAAAGTTTTAATAATTTAAAATCAAACAGCAAAAACATAAAGGAAAAACGCTAAATTCAAGAAAGATTTACAAAATTCAACCTTGTCCCCAAAATCTATATTATTGACGTAAGATATATCTTCAGACTAAACAATGCAAATAACATGACCGAGTAAAGGACACTTGAAATAACTCTGTCACGAACTAGCATTTAAACTAAAAAATTACCAATCCTTAAAAAAACCTAGTCATGAATACTCTTTGGATTAAAAAATTGAAAAGAAACACAAATTTGTAAATTCAGCAAAATAATAAGGAATTTAAATGAAACAAAAATAGTGAAGGAAAATCGACAAATCATTAGGGATCGACGGATTTCAACCATGGCCCCAGTCTTGTCATTGAGCTAAAATCAAAATATTATCAAATATTGCAAAGAACCAAAATGGATAAAAGTAAATCTTAAATCATTTAGCTACGTATATTCTAATGCCATACAAATAATAACCTGCAATGTATATAAAATATTGAAAATTTAAAATCAAACAACATAAATGGAAAGGAAATACGACAAATTCAAGGACCCAGGGATCCACCCTTGACCTCAAAGTCTAGTTATTGATTTAAGATATATCTTAGCTAAACAATGCAAATAACAAGGGCGAGTAAAAGGACACTTGAAATAATTCAGTCATGAACTATCGTATAGGATTACAAAACTAAAAAAGTACCAATTAGGCCAACAAAATTATGTATCGCTTTGAATAAATTAACTCACAGTAGAAATAAAATTGGCTACTAAATTGGGATATACGGATTTCATCCCTCGTCCCAAAATCTAATCATTGAAGGTAACACAAAAAATCGAGACAGAAACAATGATATAAAAAAAAACTACTCATGAATAGTTTTTTCATTCTAAAATTGAAAGAAACACCAGTCTATAAAATCAGCAAAATTATGAGGAATTTAAAATGAAACAAAAATTCAGATGGAAAATCGACAAATCTTTGGGGGACAACGGATTTCACCCCTGCTCCTAAAGTCTTGTCATTGAGTTAAAATCAATATATTGTAATATATTGCAAAGAACCAAGATAGATAAAGTAAATCTTAAAACATAGCCACGAATATCCTAGTACTAGGTTAAAAATAACATCCTGCAATATATGTAAAATATTAATAATTTAAAATCAAACAACAAAAACGAAAAGGAAAAACGCCAAATACAAAAAGGATCAACGGAATTCACCACACACCAAAGTCTAGTTATTAATTTAAGATTATATCATATATCTTAGGCTAAACAATGCAAAGAACATGGATGAGTAAAAGGGCATTTGAAATAATTCAGTCACGAACTATTGTTTAGGAATACAAAACTAAAAAAATACCAATTAAGCCAACAAAATTATGTATCGTTTCGAATAAAATAACTAAAAGTGAAAATAAAATTGGCTGCAAAATTGGGATATATGGATTTCACCTCCAACGTCAAAGTCTAGTCATTGAATTAAAGCCTAGTTATTGAAGATAATACAAAGAACTGTGATAGAAACAATGATGCATAAAAAACCTAATCATAAATACTCTTTGGAGTAAAAACTTGAAAAGAAACACAAATCCATAAAATCAACAAAATTATGAAGAATTTAAAATGAAACAAAAAAGGTTGAAGGAAAATCGACAAATCTCTGGGGGTAAACAGATTTCACCCTTGGCCCCAAAGTTTTATCATTGAGTTAAAATCAAAATATTGTCAAATATTGTAAATAATCAAAATGGATAAAAGTAAATCTTAAAGCACTAAGCAACAAATATCTTAGTGCTAGAAAAAATAATAATTGGTAATGTATATAGAGTATTGATAATTTAAAATTAAACAACAAAATCTGAAAAGAAAAACGTCAAATTCAATTAGGATCTACGGATTTCACCCCTAACCCCAAAGTCTAGCTATTAACTTAAGATATATCTTAGGCTAAATATATCTTAGGCTAAATAATACAAAACTAAAAAAGTATCAATTACGCCAAATAAATTATGTATTGTTTCGAATTAAACAACTAAAAGTGGAAATAAAATTGGCTACTATAAAGGGATATACATATTTCACCCCGGACCCCACAATCTAGACATTAAAATATGACATAGTCATTGAAGATCATACAAAAAACAATGACACATAAAAACCTAGTCTTGATTACTCTTTGGCTTAAAAAAAGGAACAACAGTCCATAAAGTTAGCAAATATATGAGGAATTTAAAAATGAAACAAAAAAGATCTGAACTAAAATCGACAAATCTCTAGGAGTCGACGGATTTCACCCATCTCCAAACTCTTGTCATTGAGTTAAAATCAAAATTTTGTCAAATAATATAAGGAACCAAGAATGAAAAAAAGTAAATATTAAAACACTAAGCTACGAATATCCTTGTACCAGATAAATAATAGGAAAAATTGTCTTATACTGAGAGAAATAAGAACTTACGTACATTTGATGTATTAAGGAAATATAATTACGACAAAATATAAAAAAATCTATTATTATATTAAGAGAAATAAGAACATATATGAATTTGATGTATCAAGGAAATTTAATTATGTACCTAGATTCAAGAAAATTCATACACAGAGCATGTTCAACAAGGAAATTTATTTTTACACATTGCATTTTCAACAAGGAAATTCATATTTAAAAAAAAAAAACCAAACAATAAATCATGATACTAATAAATATACGCACTGAAATAATGAGGATGATAATAAATACTTCAATTCGATATGAATCAAATTATATTGATTGAAATTTTCAATTCGAAATTTAGGGTACTTCCGATACCCGTGAATCGGTCATGAGTTTTTCAAAAATTGATGAACAAAACTTTTGTTAATAAAGTAAATAACTCATGCAATAATTTGAAAAACATCAGGAGCTTCAAAAACCCTCCAATATCATCTAAAATGGTGCCCAATTTGTGTTGAAATCAACACTTCTGCAAATCAAGAATTAAAAATATATTGCGAAGCAAAAATTGAGCAAAATAGGTGTTTAATTACAAAAAATATAACTACAATACTTTGAATAACACTTTAAACTTTAAAACCCCTCTGATTTTGATCACAAAAATTATTTATTTCTTTTTAAATTAATCAAATGGCGAAAATTATATGAAAATTAGAGTTCTTCATGAATCAATCATGATTTCTTCATAAATTGATGAACAAAAATATGTTAATAACGAAAATAACTTACACAATGACCTGAAGAACATCATGAGCTTAAAAAACCCTTAGATATCACGCAATATGATGCCCAATTTCAACAAAAACTATCACTTTGGCAGATCGTACTAAAAAATGTTACCGAAACTCGATTTCTTCAAAATTCGAGCAAAATAATTATTGAATCAGAAAAAATACAACTATAATCCTCTCAATAACACTTTGAACTTTAAAAACCCTATGATTTTAATCCAAAAAACTCTCTAATTCGCTTGTAATTCATCAAATGGCAGAAATTTTTAGCGCTCGACTTTTTTTTCAGAATCAAGAATTCAATCCACTGTTTTATAACGTTTTGATGCATTATTGTGAGCAATAATGCTCTGCAAAGCGTGCCATAGTTCAATAATACAATAAAAAGTGAAAATCACATGATTTTTTTATTGCTCAAAAAACCAAAGAATCGACGATCTTTTCGTCAGACTTGAACGAATCCTGTTTTCATGCCTAATTAGGAATGTCTTAAGCGATTCCTGATCCGAATCGCCTGATTCCACTCTACCTCGTAATTGAAAAAGTGTATACCAATAGATTGTTGGAAATATTTGCGATATTCTAGATCATTTACATGCAGAAAGTTTTGGCAAAACTTGATTAAGCCAATAGTATTAACTGTTTTAGCATAGTTTCATTGGAATTCCATCCACCAATATCAAACGTGTTGACGACTTGGAACATAATTCATTAAATACTTAGCTGAATCGGTAAACAAGATGTCAAAGCAATGGTTATTGATGGCCAAATGGGATCCATCTGGGAATACTCCTATATGAAGTATGTTTCTCATACGGTTGTATGTTGCAATTGAGCGAGAATTTTCTCGAGTGAAAGATCCACCATTGACACCAGCTCCATGTCCATTATTGTTAGTGATGATACAGAACTTCCCGAGATATATCATGAACACCAACAAAAGATGATGCAACTCCAAGATTGTTTCATAGGCCATATCAGAACAGTGACTCTCGAGAACTTTATGAAACTTTATTGTACTACTGTTTTACATAAAAAATAATAGTGAAATGCTGAATTTTAGAATTGTAAGTTGCAACAAAAGAATAAAAGAAGTGGGGAGAAAAAAAAGAATGCATTGTACAAGGTTGATATCAGGATGACTTCATTGAAGAAAAGAATGAAGCGTGGCACCTCACTAATTCATATTAGAATGCATTACTTGTTTAGGGTTACAAATAATAGTGGCACCTCACTATTCTGTATACCAATCCGATGGCCTCACCACCAAACTTTGGTGGATCATCTCATAGTATCTCTTCCTGCAGTTGCTGCCATGGTTGTACTTCACAACCAGCAGGTAGACCTCTGGACAGTAGCCAAAAAAAATCAAGCTTGAAGATAGCATGGCAAAGAAAACTTCAAGGAGACAATCAATGCAATGTGGTTGCTTCAATTAAGTGTGTGAAGGGTACTTGAGCTCAAGTTGACTGGGCAAGGTTTGCTGCTCTTGCTCTGGACACTGAGTTCTCATAGAGGTCTTCATACTGAGATGCAGATGAATCCCAGCTGAAATCCACATTCATGGCCTTTTGAACAAGGTGCTGCCACCATTCTGGGTTCTTCTTATAGTAGCTGATAGCCCTATCTAAAGCACTGTTTACCCCCTGTTAAAATGAGAATAGTTTGTCAATGTACTCATAGTAGCCGACATCATCACTGTACTTTCTTTAGCTGATATCAACATTATATTTTTCTTAATTCAGGGAAAACGTCATTTAAGGGGTTAAAACCAGTGTAGAAAAAATCGAACCGGAATGGTTAACAAGACATGGGGCCAGAAGCAGTTCAACCGTCCTAACCGGGGTAAGTCCCGAGGCAGTAAAAAAAGTGATTAAAAAAAAAAAAATCTAATAAAATATGAAAAATATATTTAAAGCATGATTAAACAAAGCACATCCAAATGAAGATGAAAATTAAGGAAAAAAATGAATTTTAAAGATTCAATTTGTCCCCAAGGGTGTTTTTGAAATTTTTCAAAAAAAAGATGGGAAAATGTAAAAATAAGTATTAATGGCCAAAACAATTTCCAATCTTTGGAAAAATGATGAAAAACATTAAAAAATGCATTACAAACAAAATTTCTTATTTTTTGACATTTTATATAATTGTTTTGAATTTGTTTTTAAATATCCAGCTGGTTCACTAAAACTAGCTGAAACCGGTCGGTTCCAATCTAACTGGGCGGTTTTGAATTGAACCGCCCGATTTTTCTTACACTAGTTAAAACCCCTTACAAACTTATTAAAAGGATCAAATGATCCTAATTAACATTTGAAAAGTTGCATTTTCATTTTAATTTCACTCAAGTACCTCCTTAAAAAATCACAAATTGCTCTTGTTCAGGATTGGGAAGCTTGAAAATAAAGGCATTTTAATATTTTGACCCCTACTGAATGCCAAAGATACTCTGCTTTAGGGCTTTCATTGAGGAATAATTAGCGTATTTATGGTATTTGACATGTGCAAGGCATTTGGTGCCAAATGATGAAAATGCCCATATTTGTTCCTCATTGTAGCTGTAAACAACACGATCCTTATTTGTAACCCTAAACAAGTAAGAGCATTTTCATTATTTGGTTGCGGCCACTTGGGGCTCAAATTATTGAAGTGCCCTTGATTGTTAAGGTTTCCCCACCCTGAACAAAGGCAATTTAGGAATTTTTATTTTATTCTTACTTTTTTTTTTTTTTGAAGAGGAAGTACTTGAGTGAAATGAAAATGAAAAAGCAATACCTCAAGTGTAAATTTAAGGGGCTTCGACCACTTTATATTTTCCTCTTTATAATGGAATAGATGTCACAATAGAGTTTAGTTTGAATAATATATAACATCTGAAATTGATAACAATATATCCAATGAAAGATAAATTAGTATAATATTGGAATGTTTCAATAACAATACGTACTTTCTCATCTGGTGTTAAGAAGGTAAAACCATTGCGAAACTGAAGGGGGACCATATCATCATCAACATCAAATACACTGTAGGGTTGCATGATAAAACAATATGAGCATCTCAAGAGGTTGCACCATGAGACAGTATGAGCAACTCAAAGAGGAGCTCGTATGAAATGATTAGTAATCAAGAATCTACCTGTCATTTAGCCCTCCAGTTTTTCTTGCTATAGGAATAGAACCATATCTCATTGCAATCATCTGCAGAAACCAAACAAATGACGTAATTTGGCAGTATGATTTTTCCAATGTGAGGAAGACAAATTGTTCCATATGTATATTAGAGAAACTTGTGCAGAATTTTCATTAACCAGAATTAGGGGATAATCCCATATATACAAATGGCTTGGTGGTATGAAATAGATAAACATCCCTGTACAGTGATGTGACAAAAATACCATGAAACAAATTATACGTGTGATAGTTTGCCTACGAGATAATCATGTATTCATTAAGTAAGAACTTCCGTTTGATCTTTAGAATAAGTATGAAAGTAAGACGACCACATGCAAATATTTCATGCAAATATTTGTAACATGGAATGTCAATCGGATTTTAATATGCTTGGTCCTATCATAAGATACAAGATCAGTGAAGTCCTATCATAAAATACAGGATTAGAGAAAATCCTAATTGAACTGATATTATCCCCGTGAAAATGCTTAGGCAATGAGTGAGGGACACGTAAATCAGAGATAAGCATGCGAATAAAGAGAATCTTCGACCATAGGGTATAGAAACAACATGTTGTTTCTGACACCAAGAAGAAAAAGTGAATCACCAAGAAAACAAAATATCCACTAGTTGTCATATGAATGAATGGACGACACTGAATTCGGGGGCCCATGCGAAGCCATAGGAACCTTCGGAGGGCGCACATCCACCACTTTCCAGTAGCTAAGGCTACCGCTGATAAGATCAAACGGCAAAAAAACGACTAGAATCAGCGAAGACTCTAAGGAAGTACCTCCGCACCCTACCTTATTAGAGAGAGGGCGAACTAATCTGAATCAGCAAATGCAAAAATTTGAAGATTAGAGTCATCATCATCATCATCATTATAGCCTTTTCCTAATTAATTGGGGTCGGCTACACGAATCCTGGTCTGCCATTTTGCTCTATTAAAGACTATACCCTCAGTCAGGCCATAACCCCCCATATCTTTTCGGACTACTTCCAACCGCATCCTTTTGGGCTTACCCCTTGCCCTTTTCAGTCCTTCCACTTGGGCTAACTCGCGCCTCCTAACAGGTGCTGTACTTGGTTGGCACCACACATGGCCAGCCCAGCTAAGTCTACTCTCACTCACTTATCACCTTTGGTGCCACACCTAAATTCTCCCGAATGGATTCATTTCGAATTCTATCCCTTCTTGTCTTGCCACTCATTTATCTCAACATCCTCATCTCCACCACACTCCATGAGTACATTGGTTTTTGTCTGCCCAAGATTCTGTCCCATAGAACAATGCTGGTCTCACAACTGTCCTATAAAACTTGCCCTTCAACTTCATTGGTATGCAGCGATCACATAAAACTCCAGTTGCACATCTCTACTTTGCCCACCCCGCTCTAATTTTGTGTGCAACATCCTCAATCTCACCATTGTCCTAGATTATCGACCCAAGATATTGAAAGAGCGGTATTTTTTGTACATCCTGGCCGTCAATCTTAACTACCTCCTCTTCTCTGCTCCTATTATTAATAAACTTGCCTCTTATCTGATCCTAAAGCCTTTCCTGTCTTCATCCTATTCAAAGCTTCTTTCACTTCTGTTCATTGTTCATGTCAGCCACCTGTCCACCGTACGTCTACTTTTTACTGTTCATAATGGCCACCTGTCTTGGCCAGCTGTCTTCTTTATTGTTGTTTTGAATCCGGATTTCAAGTCCGGTGCCTATATAAGGCCCTTTAAGTCAGTTGTAATGGCAGAGTGCTACTTAGAGCCTCTCAGCCTAGTTTCTTTCTTGGTGTGCGTCTTTCCTACTTCTGCTTTTACTTGTAAGCTTCTTCTACTTGTAAGTTTGATCCTTATAGTTTGTTATAGACTTTCGGCGTGCATGTTCATGTTCTGTTATTTCTCTATCTCCTTATATCCTTTTGTCTTGTGTTGTTTTGTCTTGTGTTGTTATCTTATGCGCAACTATATTGGTATCAGAGCCTGCACAAGTGTCATGAGATTATTTTTCATATTTACTCTGTTGACTGGGTTAATATATAGTTCATATTGAGATTAGTATGCTCTGCATCTGCCTAGTTGATCTAGGATCTCTCGCATCAGAAAACATAGAATGAATTAAAGGTTAATTTAGAGTGTTGATGTTATTCCACTGGCAATACTTTTTGAAAGTTAACATAACAGGAGCTCTGTTGAGGCAAGAAGGCCGTAGAAGGAGTTCATACTTTGTTAACCAGGAAAAGAAAGTTGGCCTTAAACTTTATTTCAAAAATTTACAGTCAACACAGTAGATAATTTCAAAATGACAGAAGAAAGTGTCTCAAATATCTCTTTAGATAGTGTTTCCTCTTCTAGTTCAGATTTAGGTCCCCTGTTTTCTAACCAAGAACATCTTTTTGAAATAACCTATACCCTTGAAAAGTTTTCTGAAACTAGTTCTCAAGTAATTAATCCTTATCACGTTTATGATAAATCTAGCTTAAATTGGACCAAAAAAATCAAAAAGCTTTGTGGAAAAAAGAACCCTGAAGCCATCAAGGAATATGTTCAAGCCTCTTCCTTTGACCAACACCAAATCCCTGCTACCCAAGCTGAACAATACATTACTATTGCCCTACCCAGAAACCTTTTTCCCCAATGGCTTAAAGATGGATATACTCATTCATTTTGGAGTTATAAAATTAGCCTTAACATTCCATGGAAGAAAAGGTATGGAAGCAGTTTCCCGAATTGCTTTGTTAGATTCCAGATTTTTAGAATCCCAGCATGCCTGTATTGTAACTGTGCAAACAACCTTAAACGATGGCACCATTTTTGTTACCTTTTTCCCAAACTTTAATATCCCAATCAAAGACCCTCATTTGAGTTCTGCTTTCAAAGTCCAATTACAAATTACAGGAACCAAGCAAATTGAAATAGCCACTGTAGCTACACTCCATTATCAAATGGTGTATAGATTACAGAACCATACTTTTGATATAGTTAACCCTTTGTCCCCTGAACATGAAAATACTGCCTCGTTCATTAAAGTTGACAATAATTTCCAGCATGTCTGTCATTACGTTCCTAGACAAATATCTCGAGAAAGGTTGCTTGAATTGATTCCATCCACATGGGTGACAAACTATGAAAATTTTCACAATCAAAGTCAGCCAGTGATGCAATCAGATTCTAGGATAACAAGAATGTCTGATGGAACACTACAGATAAGTTTTCAGACTCCAAGAGCTATTGAAAATTAAACCAGAGAAGTTTTCCCTACCCAATTTCAAGGACTGCTTGAAAAACTCTCAGTATTTGCTTTTGACAAAACAGGGAAACCAATTTATGAACAGAAAACTTCTGATGGTCATAATTGGTTTGATACTTGCAATTGTTCCACTTGTCTTAGAGATGATTTTGATGAAATACCAAAGAAGAAAAATAGAAAGAAAATTTCATCTCAGCAAAAGCTTCATCAAAGATATATTGAAGGTGATCCATCTGTTGGATTACTTGGAGAGAGTTCAGGAAAATGGGATTATTATGTGACTTATGGTAGTAAAAAACGCAAACACACTGGTTCGGAATCATCCCTACAGGATGGGATGATCACAATGAAAATTCTGAAAGAAAAATCACATTCCAGAATGATTAGCCTTTGATCCTCAAAGTTCAAGTTATGCCTAAAATTTTCCTCCATTACATGAATATGAAAAAATTCAAGAAAATGAAAAACATGTATGGAAGATAAAAAATCCAAGTACAAGAGATGTTACTGGAGCACAAAAGTCTATATCTCCAGCTGAAGCAAGCCTCAATTGGCAAGCTGAAAATGCTAAATCACAGAATTTAGCATTACTTCGAATAGAAGAAAAACAGAATGTTATGTCGTCTCAGTTACAAGGATTAGTTGGCATAATTGTTCAATTAAAGGAAAAGATTCAATTGTTGCATGAAGAGTTGATGCAGATCTTATACATAGTAAAGGATATTCATGAGCAATCTTATTTACTGAATAAAAAAGGGAAGGAAAAGCCTTGAAAAAGATCTTTGGATGAAATCTCAATATCCTCAGACACAATACCATTCCCAATTTCAACCTTTGCTTGCAAACCCATACACCCAAAATTACCCTACTTTAAGAAGTCGTGATCCTTTCCAACCTATAAGAACACTTTACCCACCTACATGATTGATTCCACCTAGACAATTTGATTTTAGAGCTGATGAAAGACGCTTTCCTGAAGAAATGTTCTTTCCTCAACTAAGAAACAAACCAAATGTATCAATACCCAGTTCATCACAAAATCCTATACCTAAAACCTCAATTACCTCTATACCAGTAACAGTCCAACCACATACTATTCCTCAAGTACCCAAAAATGAAGCCCAAAAACCTGACAGAACAACCTGAAATAAACCTTCAAACTCAAACACAATCCTCAGAAGATATGTCTGATACTTTTGAAACTCTTGAAGATAAATCCTCCTCTACTTCCCTGGACTTAGAATCGTTATTAAGGATGAACCCCCCTGAACCACCTCATGAACCAGACCCTGTCATGGAAGAAGAATTTAGGACTCTTAACCAACAAGAACCTCAACCTTCCCTGAGCTATGGAGATTCATCAAAAGGATTTACTATTGATGGTATTTCACCTTCACGATGGAATGATAGATTCAGAGAGATTCAAGGATGGATGCATTCAGAAAAGCTTAACCCTACAAATACATTAGCCAATACAATTTCTAAGATTATTGTAAGGCTAAGAGAATGCCTTTTTGACTGGTACATAGGTCTTGGAGAATACCGGCAAACACAGTTAAGAAATAGTCAGTCCATTGTTGAATTCCTTAATTACTTTGTCTCTAAATTCTCAGGCCCGGTTAAGCATGAACACATTGCTGCCAGAGAAGAAGTTTTTCAGCTTAAATGTTGTTTTTTCAAAAGACAAGATTTTGAAAATGGATTTATCGGCTTTTCCAAATATTCTCAAATTCCAGAATAAAATACTGCCGAATCCCCAATTACTTATGTTTTC